GAGAGTAGGATTAGGAGAGGTAGGATGTTGGAGGTGAGATCGAGGCAACACCTGAATGAAGCGCGGAACATAGTACGTGCTCGACCACGGGTTGCGTGAGAGACTGACGCAGGGCATGGAAGGGCCCCCAGTCCACCCTGCGTACGATCGCCGGGATCCACTCCGGTCTCCGACTCCGGCACGACGACCGCACGACAGGATTTTACACCGGTTGGCGGGACAGCTTCCCGGGGCGGAGTTTAGTAGAGACACCCGGGTTCAGGTCCCCTACTGACCGGCGGGCGGCAGCGGATACCGTTTCACTAGGTCTCCCTATACCCCCGTCAAACAATCACGCCCCGTGAGCTCGCACGCACGTCTGCTCCGCATGTTCCAGGCGTCACCAAGACTCACCCCCAGCAAGGAAGGGGAAAGGGAAGGAATAGAACTGGCTCTCCAACCTACACGCCGGAACACAGCTAGGCTATTTGGCGGCGGACTCTAGTTGGAGGGTGGTCGCCAGCCAGTCGGACAAGTCCTACCACCGATTATGTATTCGGCTCCCGTTTTGCACCACCCAAGGGTCACTTGTAGGGAATCGCGGGTTAAACCTACGGAAGCGGGAAGCACCAACTCCCAAAACCCCCTCGCTTTTATTAAACTGCATCTTACTAATGATTCCTTCTAACCCAGGGTACTGAAGTTCTAAGTATTATACTAAGTCTATCGTACGGATAGTTTCAGAGATATCCGATATTATTTTTTTCCCATGTTTTTTTAAGTTGTTATCCTCAACGTTTCTCTACAATTGCCGTTAGGAGCGCTGTTCCAACTGCATAGAAATTTCAATTAACTTTTACGCTATCGTGAACGTTACAAAACTCGCACCAAGCACAGATTGCCATAAAATACATAAGCTGCGCTTAGTTTGAAAACTATACGGCGCCAACTATTGTGTTATTGGTAAAAAGTTATTTCCTAGCTTCAGTATTTCAGACTTATGTTTCGTATATTGAACTATCTTGTAGGATGCAAAATTTTCAGAGTAGCACTCAGTATAATTACAAGTATTGATAATAGCAAAACGAGTTACAAGCATTTCAAAATAAAAAAAATATAGTACACACACAATAAACACTTATATTGGCGTCAGATTTAGATTTAGAAAATTATAAAGATTGAATATTATTATTTTAATGAACTTTTATTTTCATTTAAATAATATTTGTTTTTATCTATTTTTCTATTATGTTTAAAAACTAGCGACCCGCCCTCGCTTCGGTTCGGAAACTGTAATTTATTATTGATTTATCCACTATTTAATTGTTATGGTTTGTTATTATACATATAAACCTTCTTCTTTAATCATTCTATCTATTTAAAAAAACCGCATCAAAATCCGTTGCGTGGTTTTAAAGATCTAAGCATACATAGGGACAGACAGATATAGGGACAGAGAAAGCGACTTTGTTTTATACTATGTAGTGATATATATAGCCTATGTCACTGGGGGATAGAGTAGCTTCCAAACAGTGAAATAATTTCTAAAATCTGTTCAGTGGTTTCGGAGCCTATTCAATATAAACAAACAAACAAATCTTTCCTCTTTATAATATTAGTATAGATTAATGGCTGAACTTGTGTATATAATTTAGCCTTTGAATTCAATTTTCGACGTGAACTTTGTATACAAATCGAACTTAATTATAATATATTACAATCTATTGTTCGAACTATATTATGCAAATAATATATCTTACAATAGGCACTTAGAAATTAATGCGGCGCATTTTTTTTTTTATTTCATGCTTTGATTTTATTAAGTGGCGGTACCCTAAATGCTTGTCGAATATTAATATCATTGTCTTTGGGTATGGACCGTGACCATATCATTACGTCGGACTTAAAGGGATTATAATTTTCGATTTGATATCGTTCAGCTGAACAGTCATAGAAAAAAGTGGTGTATTTGTTTTTTTAAATCGAAAGATAAATTTTGATAAATTCAATGTTATGAATGCAGCTTCCTATAAAACTCATTTTAGCCGCTCTAATATTTAATTTAATAACGAAATACCTAAATGCTATTTATCTCTTCTTTACTATAACTTCTTTGTCATAATTTAGGAAAAAAAGTTTCACATACATCCCTTTGTCTATTTTAATAAATCCTTTTTAGGCAACTCCGGCATACAAAAAAGGAAATTTTATATAAACTTCTTGCTTAGAATGTAGTAGGTATTATTGGAGTTAGGAATGTAGATGACTTGGGAATGTAAAAAAATTAAAGAAGTTCATAATCTCTACACTTGTTACGGAACTATCATAGGCAATCGTAATTTTACATAAATGAGAGGAGATAGATGCTTTAAATTATCCCCAAACGTTGTTCAATACAGATCTTGTTAATACGAAAGGAGGGATTAGTGCCTACATTTTTTATTGCTTAGATGGGTGGACTAGCTAACAGCCCGCCTGACGTTAAGTGGTTACCAGAGCCCTTAGACATCCGCAACGTAAATGCCGCCACTCACCTTGAGAAATGAGTTTTAAGGTCTTAGTTTTTACAGTACAACGGCTACCCCACCCTTCAAACTGAAACGCATTACTTCACGGCAGAAATAGGCAGGGTGGTGGTACCTACCCGTGCGGACTCACAAGACGTCCTACCACCAGTTATACCAATATATACGAATAACAAAAACTTTGAGCGTGATTATCCGTCATATCACAAACATTAGGCCACTTTTGCATAATACATAGCTAAGCGATCTGATGTTACGCATAGAAACGACACATTATCTAACGGAGCTTCGACAAATACACGAAAAATGTCAACGAAGATTTTGTTTATTTTATTTTATTGCGCGCTAGTTACATGTTATAATAAAATCAATATTATTGGATCTTTTGCGAATCACAATTGGAAGCCAACATCGATATTAGCTCCGAATTTGTGTTGGGACGATTGTGAGTAATCCCGGATCTTTTACGAATACATAATACAAATTAAATTATTTAATAGCGAATAAGTGTGTATAGCTGATGTTGTCAGTTGGCTATTGTCAGTAATCATGTCAATAATCATTGATTAGTAAGATTTTCTACTGTACGGCATTGGACTTACATGGCATGTATAGTAAAAAACAAAGTAATTCCTTGAATTTAAAATGACCCCTCAAAGTTACTAGAATAGGCAGGAAAAAAAAGGGAACAAACATCCCAGAAACTAATTGGATGCAGATAGTTTCTAATTCGTCTTTTTGGAAATCCAGAAGTAGCCTGAATTTTGTGAACCCTTTTGGCTATAATGGTATCATCAGGTATCAGTATCAGGAAACTCCAAATTGATCTGGAATTGCTTGATGCTTCTTCAATGGTAACATCGTATTCCGATGCAAAACAAAAAGCATTTATTTTGTGCTATATACATTTATTATCAGTAGTATCTTTTTCGAAATGCAAAAATCTATCTGAACTCTTAGCTACCTTATCTAGTTTAACAATTGTTGTAGCATTTATTGTAATGTGATTTTACATCAATCTATTTCAGTTGAGGTAAAGGAATTAACGAAGATGCTTAATAAAATTGGAATAAATGTTGCCCAGTCACTACAACAGAACCGCACCGAATATTTTCTACAGCATTGTTTGATTGTGGCCGATTTCGATTGTGGACACACTGAAGATTTTTTGATGAAGGTACCTTTTTTTTTGTCGATCAAAAAGACTCACCTGGTTGTTAAGTAGTTACTGGAGCCTATAGACATCTACGACGTAAATGCGCCACCCACCTTGATATATAAAGTTCTAAGGTCTCAAGTATAGTTACAACGGCTGCCCCACTCTTCAAACCGAAACGCACCCTTCACGGCAGAAATAGGCAGGGTGGTGGTACCTACTCATGCGGACTCACAAGAGATCCTACCACCAGTATTTACGCAAATTATATTTTTACGGATTTAATTTTTATACCACGATGTTATTCTTTCACCTTGAAAGTCAATCGTGAACATTTGTCAAGTACGTATTTTATTTCTTTAGAAAAATTGGTACCAGTCTGCGGGATTCGAACACCGGTGCATCGCTCAACACGAATGCACCGAACGTCTTATCCCTTAGGCCACGACGACTACTCGATTACTTTTTTATGCAGGGTATACGAACTCTGGAAGGGAGGTCATAGACGCCAGCGACTTGAAACCAGTGAAATAGTTAGTGCACTTGACTCTTGAGCCTGGGTTGTAGGTTCGATTCCCACATCGTTCGTGTGATAGACAGGCTTATTTACTCGTCGTCTGGGTGTTTATTATCTATATATGTATATATTTAAACGTATATAAGTATGTATGTCAGTTTCTGGTATCACATAGGACAGGGAACCCTATTTTAGGGCCGGATGACAGTGCGTGATTTATTTATTATAGTTATTGTTTTAAACCGCTTGTCTCCCAATTTAGGGCTTCAAATTAAAAGGCATTGGATACATTTAGTAATTTATTGATACCTATATGTATTACTCGTTTAATTAATTATGTTATTTTATCAGCGAATCGACGATTTATTTTAATTGAGTGCCTAACCGGATCTTGTTCTCTGGTTTTTAAATTTTCTATAGGCGAACGGAGAAGGTTACTTCAAATCGCCGTACCGATGGCTGTTGATCAATTCAAATGGGCACAACACGGATGTATTGCGAAAATTGGATGTGCTGGTTGACAGTGACGTTGTTATAGCCAAACGAATCAATGAAGACGAGGTTTTATTCGAAGAAGGTGGGTTTTTAATGCCGTAATCTATAAATAAAAGAAAGTCGTGTTAGTTACACTATTTATAATTCACAGCTGAATTGATTCGGCTGAAAATTGGTGGTGAGATAGCTTAGAACCAGGAGAAGGACATAGGATACTTTTTATCACGTTCACGTGGGACGTGACATAAAACGGGGTATAACAAAACGCAACTGACAGCTTAACGTAATGTAGTCTATGGTTAATTATAGTAGAATTTTGAAGTTGACCGGTTGATGTGTTTGTTTCGAGTGAAGAATAACAAGAAAATATAATAATAATAAATAAAATACATGGCCAATAAAGAATCATTAAAATATTTGCTTTTTTCATTTACATTAATTATCCAAATAAGAAATTGACCTTGACAAAATCAAAAGTCTGCTCATTTATTGCCTCTAAGGCGAAACAAAGTTCGTCGGGTCAGCTAGTATCTTTATAGATCTTTATTATCTTTCTAGTACTAGTCTATTATTGCAATAAACGTCAGCGGAGAAAGGCACGGTCGGCCGGCGTAATGATAAGTTCAAAATGATAATTATAATTGACGTAAATTTTAGCGCGGAAACTACGTCACTTAGGTATGACATCGGTATAAAAAAAATGGTTGTATTCCACACCAATATACTTTAAAATAACTAAATTCTACAGTACATACTATGAGTATATTATCTACTTTTCTCTTTTTTGGCTTTTTGGATTTGCATTTAAAATAAGCCAAAATATTTAACTCTATAAATCTAAGGCTAAATAGTACATTTTCTGATTTTGCAACCGCAAATAAAGTTTAACCGGTCAATATTCGTTTACCTAAGGTATTTTGGTATTTCCGTTTGCCTGGGCTTGAGTAAAAACTCTGCATTAATGTGACGTAATACTGAGTCGTTCTAAAGTCAAGTTTTTCAATGCATTTTCGACGAATTGCAAATCATGCATCATATTATATTGTATAATATTAAGCTATATTAAAGGAATAATGTCTTGCAAAATATCTATCATGATTCATATGTATATATTATTATTATTATGAATAATGTAAACCTTATTGTAAACAGTTGATAGTTTGATTTCGCCTTTAGCTATCTTCTATCTATATATATAAAAATGAATTGCTGTTCGTTTTGATGTAAAGTATTTGAAGCGTTGAAAATGATATTATCTTGCTCACCGAGTTTCTTCCTTTCCCACTGGGTCTTCCCAGTCTTCCCAGTGGGTCCCGATTACGATCCGGTGGTAGATTCTGCGAAGCACTGCTCTTGCTGGTGTTACCAATTCTCTCAGGTAGTACCCGTGAGCTCACCTACCCGTCCCATCATAGCTGAAATAGCCCCTGTTAGGCTACTAGCAAATAGGTAGGAAAAACAGAACAAGGATCTGTCTCAATATACAATGGTTCAGATCAGATAACCAATTAAAAATATTTTTTAAAGAATTATAAATAGTTATAATTAACATAAACATTATGTTAATGCTCTTTAAACTTATACTATTCATTCAAAATTAATTCACGTTTTATCTGTATGAGATCCGGTAACACAGGCCGGATTTTGAGGTATTTTGGCGCCGGTTAATATGAAAAAAAGTTTTGACGTGACAAAGTCTTATAATTCGATGGAACTGGCTGCACGCACGAAAAACATGACTCATGTGGCGTTACCTCGTTCTGAGGCGTTCCATTTAAAGCTTGAAGTGCAAGCGAGAGCGCGCAATGAGCGACAAAGAGGCACAATCGGCCTCCGCATTCGGCAGCGTTCGACATCTGTCTCTCTCCTACTTGAGTGAGCGACGAATTATATTTATACGTACAAATAAATGTAACTTGATCAATTCAATAGTGATTTCCATTTACCTGTATATCCATACAAAATATCTATCAAACAAATAAAATTAAAATTTTCTTTTGAAAAATGAAACCATTCCATCAGTATTTTCTTATGACGTTGTCACGTTCGACTATCGTCAGTAAACCGACTTTACGGACAACCGATATTTTTTTTGTTTTTGTTACAGTGTACAAAATTTCGGAGAGCTCCAATATAACATACCTTAATAACAGAGCTATGTGGTCTTTCAAATACAACCTGAAAAACTTAACAGCTTCTTCAGTCGCTCTGAAAGAAAATTCAACTAGCATTGATACAAATGATCCTAATATTAGCTTAAAAGAAAAAGTCCACAAAATAGGCGAAATAGAAGATTACACAAAAAATAAAGTTTTATCTTCTAGAAGAGTTAATTTGAAAAGCCACACTTTGACAATGGTAAATGTTATAACGGACAGTAATGAAACAAGAAAACATATGGACGACAGAATGTGAGTATAGTAGATTAATAAAAAAACTGTATTTCATTATCTTACTAACGACTATAATAGTTTTAATAATAATAATAATAATAATAAACACAACATACAAAAAACAATAACTGAAAAAATAAGCAAGTACGCAGAACTCAAAGATGAAGTGAGCAGAATTTGGCGACAGGAAAAAGTATACATAGTACCCATAGTTCTCTCCGCAACAGGCGTCATTCCCAACCATCTTCTCCATAGCATAAAACTATTAGACCTCAAAGAAACTCTCTACATAACTCTCCAAAAAGCCGCAATCTTGAATACATGTAGAATAGTCAGGAAATTCTTGCAGATAGACGAAAACGAAATTGCCCCTCATAATAATATACCGTCAACATAAATTTTCCTTACTACACGCTGCATTCACTTGGTTTAGGCCCGTGGATGTGGTTCAGACTAGCCAAAGTGCTAAGAAAAGATTACCTTTCTGAAAAATAATAATAATAAATATTTAGTCTATACAAAAATTCCAAAAAATTTGAGAAACTAAAACAAGAAAATTAAAGAAAAATAAAAAAAAGCTCGTATGTGCTAGTTTCGTGATAAAAAGTATTTAATTATGTATTCTTATTATGTATAGTATTATTATAATAAGAAGTTCAACAATGTCCTAAAACAGGTCCTCAAATTTTCTATTCAATATTGTGTGGAATTTACGCGGTAAATTACTTACAATTTTACAAGATCAAAACGGCAAATCTATTATTTATTCATATAGAAGAATAGACCTTCAAGTTCCGAAATTAACGTTGAAAATTGTCGATCATGAAACCTTACGAATAAAATGAGAATTTATTTACTATGTTATAATAAGAACGATGTATCTCCAAGTAATAGATAAAAGACAATCACCTTTCCGCGTTATGCTATACAGGTGACATTTGTCTTTTTTATACATCGTAGTATTTTGTTTTTGTAACAACAATATCTACAACATAACGTGAATATTTCTGATATCACAACGATGTCTTACAATACGTATTCATATTCATGAGATTATATGAAAATTAAATGGCTGTTTATGTTAATGATTATGGCGATTTTATCAAAAACAGGCTATGTTAAAGGTACAGATTGAATCAGTTATGTATTCACGGAATTTTGTTATTTACAAACAAGCCTGTTCTGATTGTCGTACTTTGAACATATTGTTGTCAATACGAGTAACGCCATCTGTTGGCAAATATCAAAAACGTATATCGAAGTAACTGGTATTTGGGAATGTTCTGGAAAATTGTAGACATAGTCTTTAAAAGCATAACATAGGCCACATGAAAGTGTTTCTATTCGAAAAAGGGAAATAAACTGAAAGCCGCTAAAAGAAAACCTTTTTTACTGAACAAACTTAGCTTAAATATTTCTCGTTTAAGTAGATTCATATTCCCAATTGTGATCCTCGACCTTCACGTGCTTCATGTTTCTCCTCTGCCTTTAAAGATGACAAAAAAATTGCGTTTCGCATCCGTTCTTCAGTTTGACAGTTATTTCCTAACCTAACCTGCAATATAGAAAAAGGTGAGCTAAAACTAAAAGATTCCTTGAGTCTTATCGAGTTGAACTTTTATTTTATTTCTGAAGCTGTCCTGGAGAAAATAATGTGGTCATATTCATCAGTTATTATTATGTGTTTTTTTTCGACTAAGATGCGAATGTGAAATGAGCAATAGAAAAGTATAAACATGAAAACATATTATACATGTCGGCGCAACTTCCCTTATTTAGTTAACTAAAAATAGTTAAAATTAACTATTTCCGTAATGTTACGCATGTCAACAACTATTTAAGACGGTATTCAAGGGAGTTCATGACTAAGCTACCCCCACTTTCTACTACAAATACGAGTGACTATTGTCTCACAAAACAAATTTAGGTATATTACCTATGGCACAAAACATTCCGACTCGAGCAACCGACTGAGGCGGAGCTCTTTGTTTTTATCGTTGTACACTCGAGGTGCAATAAATGGAATTCATTGGAATAATGAGCCTTGATTACTGTCACTAAGGAAAGCAATGATGATGATGAAGAGAATGGCGTCGCAATGATGACGTCATCATTTCAAAAACACCGTGGAACCAACCAAATCTGCCATATATATTTATATAATTTGTGCTAGGATTTTAATAAAAACAGTACCTACTATACGCGGCCCTAATTGAAAACTTTCACTTTCTATGTAGTATGTTTGTCGAATTACATACATACCCGACTCAGACGAACGGACAACACACAGTCGCTGTCACCCTAAGCACGACCTTTCGGATCCTCCCGATCCACTCTCGATGCTTTTAGGTATTCCTAGCACCGGCCAACGTTTTTCATCGAAAGAGTTTGACGGGTATCTTAAGCTACAGTCGTAACCCACTGAGTTCCTTGCCGGATCTTCCACTAACCCGCGATTTCGATCCGGTGGTAGATTCAGCGAGACACTGCTCTTGCTAGGACAGGTGTTAGCAAATTCTATTAGGCCGAGCCCCGTAAGCTTTATCTACACACCCGGTAAAGCCAGAAGGTCATAGCTTGAGGTAGGCAAAAAAAAGTTCTAGTCCGAGAGCTGGCACCAATTTTTGGGTAGGTATTTGAGGCAAACTGAAAACTTGATCCATACCTCTGCGATACACCCCAACTCGGAACTACAGACCTGGCTGATGAGTAGCGGGGCTAAATAGGTTTATTTAGCCTAGGAATAAATTATCTGGCTTAATTTTTATTAATTTTTTAAACATAAAACTACAACATATTATTATATAAGTTGCCCCAAACATATTTTTTGAAAAGAAAAAGATAAAAAATTAAAATTAAGGGTTTATTTAGCCCCGCTTCTGGGTTCACAAATCAGGTCTGTAGTTGGGGTGTATCAGGGGAAGTATGGAACAAGTTTTCAGCTAGCCTCATATACCTACCCAAAAATTGGTGCCAGCTCTCCTACTATTCTATATTTTGAAGTCTTTTAAAATATGTCCTGGATGATGGTATTACGGACTAAGTTACTGAGTTCATTTTACGTCGATTTTCGCATTATTTATTTACTTGATAATTCACGTTCATGGGTTCACAGTCCGTCTAGTGTAAAGCGGATACTGTATACCATGAAGGTACCACAGAGAATGTCCCATTACCGCGGCAATAACAGGCAGACTAGTAATGCGTAGGTTCACAATACGTCTACATCTTTGGTATATTATTCTTCGTACGCAGTTTCACAAATTTTTAACTATAACATAACACTTTCGATTCTTTAATAACACTTTCGATTCTTTAAAGGAATCTTCATCAAGATTCAATAACGAAAATGTCATATGCCATCGTCAGGATTTGCTTTGAAATGTTGAATGCGACTGAAAAATTAATGTTTACACACACTTGGGGCTACAGAGACAAGCAAGGGAGATGGCAGGGTGTCGTCGATCATTTGATTAAGAAAGAAGCTGATTTAGGTAATGTATTTTAATTCTTATGAAGACTTTTTACTGGTGGTAGGACCTCTTGTTTTACTGGTGGTAGGACCTCTTGTGAGTCCGCATGGGTAGGTACCAGCACCCTGCCTATTTCTGCCGTAAAGCTTATATCTCAAGGTGGGAGGCGCGTTTACGTTGTAGTTGTCTATGGGCTCCAGTAACCACTTAACACCAGGTGTGCTGTGAGCCCGTCCACCCATTAAAGCAATAAATAAAAAAAACTCGACTCGATTCGATTGTCGAAGTAATCATTTTCTTAATACATACTTACGTCTAATTTTATGGCACGGTTTATGGCTTTAGTCTTTTTACCGATTTAACATATAAAGTGTTACTAAATGCGTTTCTATTGTAACAGTGATATAGCGTACTAAATATCAGTACGATATCCGCAAATGTTCATTCATTTAATTCTGTATTTGAAGATAGAACTTGTCGAATTTAACAATATTTTTACTGGTGGTACGACCTTGTTAGTCCGCATGGGTAGGTATCACCACCCCGCCTATTTCTGCCGTGAAGCAGTAATGCGTTTCGGTTTGAAGGGTTGGGCAGCTGTTGTAACTCTACTGAGACCTTAGAACTTATATATCAAGGTGGGTGGCGCATTTACGTTATAGATGTCTATGGGCTCCATTAACTACTTGACCCCAGGATGGCTGTGAGCTCGTCCACCCATCAATGAAAGAAAAAAATAAAAATAGTCACCACTATCGTCTGCTGACTCCGGTAACCCGTAACGGCAAGTGGGCCGTGAGTTATTCAGTTCTATTTGTTCTATTAAAAATAAGCTTAAGTTATATACTATCGATTAAAAACTGTACACAGTACATTGCCGGCTCAAGATACCAACAGGTTTATTAGTTAATTAAATATCTTATTTTAGGTACTTTAACCATCTTCACACAGGAACGAATGGATCGCGTTGATTATATAGCAATGGTGGGTTCTACGGCGGTGAGGTTCGTCTTCCGGGAGCCGCCTCTGGCATACATCTCCAATATCTTCGCATTACCGTTCAATACTAATGTCTGGTTAGCCATATTGATATGCGTGCTCGGTTGCTCTGGGTTTTTGTATGTGACTTCCAAATGGGAAGCCAGCATGGGAATGGTGAGTGAAATATTAACGATTTAAGCTTAGTTTGTTAATGCGGTGTAGCTTCGACTTTTATGCGAATCGCAACACGTCATTTCGGATCCTCCCGATCCACTAACAGTGCTTTTAGATACCCCAAGCACCGGTCGTCGTTCTCGTCGAACCCGTCGCTTGCGACGAAGGGCTCGACGAGTAAATTAACCCACAGACACAGCCCACCGAGTTTCTCGCCGGATCTTCTCAGTGGTTCGCGTTTCCAATTCGGTGGTAGATTCTGCGAAGCACGGCTCTTGCTAGGGTTTGTGTTAGCAACATCGTCAGGTTTGAGACCCGTGATCTCACCTACTAGTTAAGGTTACGCTAATATGGTCTTTCTAGATCATCAGCTTGGGTAGGAAAAGAATATGCAAATTGCTTCGAATTCAATTCACTCAATGTACGAAATCAAAACAGTGAAGACGACTGACTGCTTTGGAGCAAGAATTATTTTCGAATTTTTGGAATTACTTCTGAACTTTGAAACGATGACTTTACCGCAGCGCCCGCCAGCGAAGTAGAGTTCATCCATACTACCTGGAGCCATTGCGTTCATCTACAGTGCGCTTCCAGAGATCTTTTTTGTCACGTACCATCCGGCTTTGGAATGAGCTCCCCTCCACGGTGTTTCCCGAGCACTATGACATATCCTTCTTCAAACGAGGCTTGTGGAGAGTACTTAACGATAGGCGGCGACTTGGCTCTGCCCCAGGCATTGCTGAAGTCCATGGGCGGCGTTAACCACTCACCATCAGGTGGGCCGTATGCTCGTCTGCCTACACGGGCAAAAAAAACAACCTTAAAAGCTCTATATTACCATATGTTAATTTTAAAATACGATTTTAAACATGTTGCGTGTTAAGTTCCTTTTTGGAATAATTTTAATAATGTTATTGATGGTTTTTCATCTCCGACAATGCGCATTTTAACATTATCTTTTATTTGAATTTTTTTTTATTGCCCTTGGAGGCAGACGAGCACACGGCCCACCTGATGGTGAGTTGTTACCGTCGCCCNTCTATATTACCATATGTTAATTTTAAAATACGATTTTAAACATGTTGCGTGTTAAGTTCCTTTTTGGAATAATTTTAATAATGTTATTGATGGTTTTTCATCTCCGACAATGCGCATTTTAACATTATCTTTTATTTGAATTTTTTTTTATTGCCCTTGGAGGCAGACGAGCACACGGCCCACCTGATGGTGAGTTGTTACCGTCGCCCATGGACTTCAGCAATGCCAAGGGCAGAGCCAAGCCGCTGCCTACCGCTTAATACTCAACACAAGCCTCGTTTGAAGAAGAACATGTCATAGCGCTCGGGAAACACCGTGGAGGGGAGCTCATTCCATAGCCGGATGATACGTGACAAAAAAGACCGTTGGAAACTCACTGTGGATGACCGCAGTGGCTACAGGTAGTATGGATGGACTCTACTCCGATGGCGATCTTAAAAAACTGTAGCTCGTTTATTTTAACTAATTAACAAATTTGCAAAAATATTAATGAATAGTATGTACTACATTAACCTTTTCATGCTTCGATCAACAATTGTAACTGGTTGATCGAAGTTTTCATGGAAGGTTTTTTAAAGAACAAAAATTATAAATGTCTACGCTCGAGACAAAAAAAATTAAATAGAAAAAATAGTGACTGTTAATTAAACAAAAAAATTGTCCACATAATGTTAAATATATAAATAATTAATAAAAATCAAGCATACATGTATGTTATGCCAATGTCTCATATTAATAAAGTAATAAATAATAGTTTAAAAAGACACTAACAAAATATGCTTTGGGGCGTGGGGCGCTTTTCAGGATATTATCAAAATAACCCTTCTAATCATATCTGTTAGTACAATATTTATAGCTACTAATACCATGCACCCCACACTTTTTTTACAATAAAATCTTTTTTTTTTACACTATTTTTAATTCAAATTATTTTCTATTTCGTTAGTTGGATTTTCTATAAAAGCGTATTTTGTTAGTTTTTTTAAACTATTATTTATTTTTAATTTTTTAGTGGAATTTCAATTTTTCCATTTCTTTTTTTTAAATTTTTTTTTTAATATTTAATTGTCGTTGGTCCTTAATAAGTATACCAAATTTCGAGTTAATCCGACGCTTTGAAGGGGGTCAAAATCATGTTCAAAGATTCCGTTATAAACATACAACGCCTGAAGCTAATAAAAGAGGATTAAAATGAACACTTTTGGCGGGTGCATATATTTCTAAAGGTATGTCCACGGTTTAATCGGTATTTATGACGGTACATAATTCTAGCATCCACTGCAAATGGACGGGTCATGGGCAGACGTGTTAATACTAATAATTGGGGCTGTACTCCAACAAGGGTGTACTCTTGAGCCAAGATATGCGGCGGGTAAGTGGGTATTTTCATAAAAATTCACCTAAAAATTGTTTTTAAGGTCAAGTCACAGGCGCTAGCGATAAGTGAATTATTTTTAGTCACATATTAAGAAATTTTAAGACCCCATCAAAGCTTTTTTATTGGCTTTGTAGGCAGACGAGCGTACGGCCCACCTGATGATGAGTGGTTACCGTCACCCGTGGACTTCAGCATTGCTAGGGGTAGAGTCCGCCTACCGTTGGTTCTAGATGCATTGGAATTACCATTTCTTATGGTACTACTAATTAAGTTCTTACTGGTGGTAGGACGTCTTGTGAGTCCGCACGTGTAGGTGCCATAACCCTGCCTATTTCTGCCTTGAAACAGTAATGCGTTTCGGTTTGAACGCTGGAGCAGCCGTTGTACTGTTAAAACTGAGACATTAGAACTCATGTCTTGACTTCTATGCCGGCTTTTACGTTGTAGATGTTTAAGGGCTCCGGTAACCACTTGGTTCCGGTAACCAGTTGGGCCGTGAGCTCGTCCACCCATTTAGACAATACTTTTTTTCAATTAGTTATAAAATAAATTTTAACGCTTTTTTACTTGTATAGAAGTAAACTTAATATTTTCATTTAAACGGACCTCAAAACTGTTCATACGATGCCAATACAAAATACTAAGTAAAATGCTTTATTGCAGGGAGATGCGTGACATTGATACTCTTCGTTGCCCTGACGATACTGTACGCTGCGTATTCAGCCAACATAGTTGTCTTATTAAGAGCTCCGAGTTCTTCGGTCAGGTCTTTGCCAGACCTCCTGAACTCTCCGTTGAAACTTGGAGCCAGTGACTTTGAATACAATCGGTACTTTTTTAAAGTGAGTAGTCTCTTTAAATTCTTCGAGGACTTTTGCGGAGTAGTCATATTTTATGAATAGCTTATAGTAGAGGTTCGTAAAAATCTGTCGCGCGCATTGGATATTTTATACTTATGTGCGAAACATGGGCGTGCTGGATATTCTCGTGCTGATCATACGGGACTTCTTGTCGAACCGCTCTTTTCGATATCGAGTCGAGGGAACCCGCTCGTCCCCGCGACCTCTTACGGCTGGAGTCCCGCAAGGCTCTGTCCTCTCGCCCCTCCTATTTAACTTATTCGTCAACGATATTCCCCGGTCGCCGCCGACACGACTGTTTACTATTCGAGTAGAAACAAGTCCCTAATCGCGAAGAAGCTTCAGAGCGCAGCCGTAGCCCTAGGACAGTGGTTCCGAAAATGGCGCATAGACATCAACCCAGCGAAAAGTACTGCGGTGCTATTTCAAAGAGGAATTGAAATCCACGTGGATTTGGCTAACTCTCAGACACAGCCCACTGAGTTCGCCGGATCTTCTCAGTGGATCGCGTTTCCGATCCGGTGGTAGATTCTGCGAAGCACGGCTCTTGCTAGGGTTCGTGTTAGCAACGTCATCAGGTTTGAGCCCCGTGAGCTCACCTACAAACGTTAGGGTTACGCTGAAATAGCCTCTCAAGGCAGATAGCATAGGATTTAAAAAAAAAAGTTGCCGTTAGTGAGGGCACATTTAATGGAAAACACCTTTTTAGATCTAACAGAAAGCTACTTCAGATTATGTCATTAATTTTAATAAATCTATGCAATATTTGCAAACGAATTAATTTTTTACACAGTTATTTTAAAATGTTTTTGTAAATTTTTGTGAGAATTGTGAGATTGATTTTCCAGAAATTAAACGATCCAATAAGAAAAGCTATTTACGACAAAAAAATTGCGCCCAAAGGTAAGAAGCCCAATTTCTACAGCATGGAAGATGGAGTCGAGAAAATAAGGAAGGTTAGTGTGAAATTTATTTTTTTCAAACTAGCTGACCCGGCAGACTTCGTAGTGCCTCAATCGAGAAATAAAAGGCCTAAACTTTTGTATAAAGTAAACATAAAAGAAACAAAAGGAATCCGTCCGACGGGGGACACATCAAAGGAAAAACAAAATTGTTATTATTATTTAATTCCGAGCATTTTCATATGTATCTACCTTTTAAACCTTCCCTGGACTTCCACGAACAATTCAAGACCAAAATTAACCAAATCGGTCTAGCCGTTCTCGAGTTTTAGCGAGACTAACGAACAGCAATTCATTTTTATATATAGAGACAACCCATACTCATATTAGAATGCGAGAGTAAATTTGTTTGTTTGTTAGTTTCCCATTTTAACTACGCAACCGATCATCGAGTAATGCGTACACGTCGTTAGGAATACCGAAAATCATGCAGGGTACAACTTTTCATCAGGAGAAAAAAAAATCCTCAAGGATATTTTCTAGTAAGTTCTCTAGTGAATCCGCGCGGGTAGGTACCACCACCCTGCCTATTTCTGCCGTGAAGCAGTAATGCGTTTCGGTTTGAAGGGAGGGCCAGCCGTTGTAACTATACTTGAGACCTTATAACTTATATCTCGAGGTGGGTGGCGCATTTACGTTGTAGATGTCTATGGGCTCCAGTAACCACTTAACACCAGGTGGGCTGTGAGCTCGTCCACCCATCTAAGCAATAAAAAAATAAAAAAGTGGATTGCTATGTAAATGCTAATAATATTATGTAACGGAATCGTTCGCCTTTGGAGTCTCCTCCATACTTAAAGCTAACTTTAAAAAGACTAGTGAACGGTAGGTTATGACCTGGCAGTAACCATGACATTGGTAAGGTTGACATTATCCAGGAAGCAATGAAAATTCACTCTCAGGTGTATTCTCTGCTCGTCAGCCTTCGAAGACGATAAGCGTGAACACATGGTTCGGAGGAAATCATTTAAATAATTTAAATAGTACCAAACAGGTTTCATATAATTTATTATCTAGTTTTTTTTAACTTAGGCATTTGTTTTTGGAATATGTTTTTTTTACCGGACGGGTAGGTGAGCTCACGTGCTCGACCTAAGAGAATTTACTAACACTAGCCCTAGCAAGACAATATATTATAAGAATATCGCAGGATCGGAAGCGTGACCCACTGAAAAGATTCAGCTTAGAATACGCTACGTCATAGGTCCTATGCGGTTTTTTTTAATTATCCAGTTTACCTTGTTGGAATGTTAAAGAGGAATATTAAAACACGGTGACAAGTAATTGGAACTGTTGAATTGCGTAAGGCGTTTTGTGAGAAGCGACGCGTCGGTCTAAGTTTATTTCTGTTGCTTAGCAACCAAGCAAATGTAGAGTGAGACAGCTAATACAATCGAGGCTCCCGTGTCTATGAGACCGTGAATTCTTTTGCCCATTTTCAATTTAAAAAAAGTATATAATTATGATGTATAAAAACTGCTTCTGTATTCAGTACATACTTATCCAGTAGTAATAGTGTAAAAATGAATTCATCTATACTAATATTATAAAGAGGAAAGATTTGTTTGTTTGTTTGTATTGAATAGGCTCTGGAACTACGGAACCGATTTGAAAAATTCTTTCACTGTTTGGAACCTACACTATTCCCGAGTGACATAGGCTATAATATTTTTTGAAAAAATAAAACTACAATAATGTAACCCCAGGTTTAAAGAAATTACCTAAAATATTCTTTACATCGCGTGCCCTGGGAAAACTATTGATGATAGAATAAAATAATGTACTACGACTTTGTAGAAGATATTATTATTTACAAAAAGTGTCGCGACAGCATATATCTAACTATAGTTACGCCGCAATAAGTGTTATTTTATTTAAAACATAAAACAACGTCAAATATCGTTGAAATTTTTGTTAAAGACCCGAGCGGAGCCGGAGCGGGCTGCTAGTAGAAAATAAATTTCACGGTTGTTTAAATAAAATAGTAATTATTTGTTTAAATTTTACTAAACTCAGTCACCTTGATACTTACCTCATGGGAAACTTGTACATGATGTACGAAAAATCCGCCTAGTTTATTTTATGATTTAGTTTATAGTTCTTATATACACGATTTATGAGGTGTAATTTCAAAACTATAGCGGTTTTTTTTATCTTAATTTATTTGAAGTAGCTACTGAAGTAATCTCTTAACAATTGAATTAAGTTTGTTCTCTCCAACACAAGTCCCGATCAAAAACATAGTTTAAACCCAATTCATGCTGGATCTTACGTAATATCGATAAATTGTATTTAAAACTTCTGCATTAACAATTAAAAACAATTGCGTAAATAAGCTAATGTCATGTTTATTCCAGTGGTTGCGTAATATACCTTTAATTTATACAATTGATAAGTTGACGAGGTGGCCGAGTGGTTAAGGCGTTGGACTGCTAATCCAATGTGCTCTGCACGCGTGGGTTCGAATCCCATCCTCGTCGAGATCTTTTGGAACATTAGAAAGAATTTTGATAAAATAAAATTTGAACATTACAGTTTATTATCATGCACCGTCATTATTATGATTACTCTAAAACCTTATAATTATTTACTCAAGACACAATTAATATTAAAAAATAGCAGTCAACAAGCTACATGATACCTATATATACTTATACCAAACTAAAAATAAAACTAAATAATGTAAAAAATCGCGACCCCAAATCGCTGAATTCCCGTAAATTATTCTGTAGGTACTCAAAGTTTTTTTTTTTTTTTTAAGAAATACATTAAGAGCTCACCATCTGATGCGGTGGTTAGGTGGTTACCGGGACTCGTAGCTGCCTGGGAGATTTTAGCATCGTCATGGCCGCATCGCTTGAAAATCCGAGAATTTTACTGTCGACCAAAAACCAACGTTCTTCGCAGGGTCTATTCGCGTTCCACATGGAACTGAATCCGGGCTACAGGCTGATTCAGGAGACGTACCGAGAGGACGAGAAGTGCGATCTGGTGGAAATTGATTACATTAATGAAATCGATCCCTGGGTGCCCGGACAGAAAAGGTCACCTTTCAAAGACCTGTTCAAAATAAAGTAAGGACATTTCATTGGTGAATAGCTTTAATAATGGGAGTGCCCAAACAGAAACCAGTGGTACTTGTCTTCTGGTCAAAGAGTCTTACTCAACATTTTCAGGTTCATTCTCTCGTGGAGTACTGTTCTCATTTCCAATTCGGTATTACTTGTATTTGAGTCCAAACAAATGAGGGTCGTTAGGATTGTCGATAATTCTCTGGGTTTCCTCCATAGTTTATACCATTTCTTCCATAGAGGTTTTGCCACCAGCTTGAGCACAATTAATGCTAGCTATCTGGAATCGCTGTGTGCAAGCAAGAAGCATTTCCATGAGATGATTTTCTTGATTTTCCGTCGTTTCCTGAGCGCTGTGTCTTGTGCCACTCAAACGTGGTTCAAAATCAGTCCTCGATACTGGGAACCGATTTAACCATGTCTTGGCATAACTGATGTTCATCCGTCCACCACTCAATCGAGGCTCATTTGCAAAGCTACAATGGTAAGAATGAAAACCCATCTAATCTGATACTTATTCATCATTACGTCGTATTTGTGGTAATCTCATTTGGCGCGTCTACATTCAGCTTCCTCAAGATCCGCGAATCGGGTATTCAAGCGGCCATACACCACCGTCTGCACGTGCCCAAGCCCCGTTGCTCGGGAACTGTCTCCACGTTCAGTAGCGTCGGCATCACCGACATGTACCCGGCCATGCTAGCGACCTTGTATGGAATGCTGCTCGCCCCGGCCGTTTTACTTGTGGAGATAGCGCACATGAAACTGTAAGTACGGTTTCAGTTTACACAGTCTGATAGAATTGAACTTAAGTTAGACTGAGTCGAATGTTTTGCGTCCATTGCGGGTTCTGTTGACAATAACGGCTAACGGCGTCATATTTTTCTTTCTTGTTTTTTGTCTACAATATCGATTCAGAATAAAATGGAAGTCTTAACTAAAGGCAATCTGAAGCTTTTTAATACGCTTTTATTAGCTTCAGACGTATGTATGTTAGTATGTATGTTTGTAACGGAATCTTTGAACATGATTTTAAGCCCCTTCAAAACGTCGGATTAACTCGAGTTTGGTACTTATTAAGGACCGATGACAATTCAATATTTAAAAAAAAAAAATTGAAATTCAACTAAAAAATAAATAATAGTTTTATAAAACTAACAAAATACGCTTTTATAGAAAATCTAACTAAAAAATAGAAAATAAATTTTAATAAATTTGAATTTAAAATAGTGTAAGAACAAATGATTTCAGTAGTAATGATAAATAATATAATAAATATTTACTAACAATCACGCCACGTTAACTGGTCCCGTGATCAGCTCGTAAAGAACTTGTGTTACAGGTACCAGATAACGGAAATAAATGTAAGATTTTTATTATACACATACATATATTTAATATACATCCATAACCCTGGAAAAGACATTTATATTTATCATACAAATATCTTCCCTTGGCGGGATTCGAACCCGTACCGAAGTAGTAGATCAAAATGATTGCAGATTTCAGTAGTTTTATATATTTTATGAACAGATACGAGTAGAAGGGTTATTTTGATAATATCCTGAAAAGCACCCCACGCTTTTTTATAGTAAAATATTTTTTTCTTACACTATTTTTAATTCAAATTTATTAAAATTTATTCTCTATTTTTTTTAGTTCGATTTTCTATAAAAGCGTATTTTGTTAGTTTTTTTAAACTATTATTTATTAAACCAACGCCTCTATTCAAATTACGAGTTGATGGCTAAACGTTTTAGACAATGTCATTAAGAATGCGGCGCGCGTCTAAGGATTTAAATGACAAAAAAATGGTTTTTACTGTTTATTTCAGGATGCTTGTCAGAATGAAGAAGGCTGGTACCGAAAATGCTTACGTCACGCCCTTCGTCAATTGAACATAATAGCTATCTGTTTACGAAAGCTAATAAAAGCACAGAACACGACATTTTAGATGTTTTGTTAATGAAAATTCTTAACATTGCACATTATCTAGGTCACAATTACATTTTAATTATTGTATGTATATTCGGCTATAATAAAGTATTATAATTGAGGATTTGTTTCCTTTTTTACATATTTAATTAATATTTATTTAGCAGATATATTACCGGAGGCTTCGAACTCATGTCTGAAGGGAATCACGGCATGGACGCACCGATGTAATGCTCCGAAAACCGCTTAACAACAGGTGCACCGTGAGCTCGTTTACGCAATTAAAAAAGAAATAGAACCACACAGGCGGGTTGTAAAAAATTTAATTGGAAATTTTTTATAAAAAGAACATTGACAAAAGTACGTAAATAAATAAATATTTGTTTTATGAAGAAAGAATTACTGGTGGCCCAAAGGCCTTTCCATTTTCTGTTTCACCAGGACAGGTGGGCGAGCAAAGGCTCAGCCAGGAGTGGGTTTGCAAACAACTGCCCAAGCGCCTCCAAAGGAGACCTAACAACTCAAGAGCAGTTACCTCGCGAGTGAATCTAAATGCATTATTTTAGAACAAAACTATATTATGTCCTTTGTTCACGAGAACATTAAGTTTGCTCCACTTAGAGGCATAAGTACGGATGCATACAATTACAAATTATCAAGTCGCCAACATGAATCGTAATATCGACCAACAAAATAATGTTCTTGAAAGTGAAACAAAACGATTCTCTTTGTGTAGACAATTTTCTTGTCACAAAGAAATTTCGTCGTCACCATAAAGAAAATGTTGAAATTGTCGTCAGTTAAATTCCATATAATGTAGCGGGTATAAATAAGGCTGAATTTAAATTAGGCTTAGAAAATAAAACAAAAGAACGTGATTCAAACGAAGGAAAGTTCTCTTTCTATGATAAAGATGTTAGCGATTTTCGTTTTGATTATGATGTCGACGCTGGTTACGGCGAAAGATGCAGCTGCAATTGATTTTGTAATTAACTTTATTGGAAATGAAAACAAACCGAGTGACCTGGTCTATGGAGGGCTTTGTTGGGGCAAACGTGAGTATTTCTAACACATAAAAGAAAGAAAAAGAATATTACCAATAGCATGTTATTATAAAAGAAAGAAAAAGAATATTTACCAATAGAGAGCTCGATAGAAAATCACTCATTAGGAGAGTTAAAGCAAGGTACAAGCCCGTACCGGGTGGCTAATCATGTCTTCCAATTTCAAGGGAGAAATACAGTTCAAATTTCAATCAGATGAGCGCTCTTCATAAAATCCGAGCAAGTGAAGTCTGTTGGTGAAATAACGAATGTAGAAAAAGTCTCATATGTAAAAAGTCTAGTAAACACTTTTGTAATTGTAATAATTTGCTATTATAAGCCTTTATAAGTTTTAATTGTGTCTTCATTGTCGCCTCGTGGTCTCCGTTTTTATCGTATAGTGTTTTCCATAATAGATTTAAATATTTTTTATAAATTTTCCGAAAATCTTAATACCCAATGCTTGACATTAACATCTTCATCATCAATCATCATCACCATCAATTTCGAATCGTCCAATTTTATGTTCAAATGTCCATTAATTCTTTAAAAAGAACTATTGATCAAAGTTGCTTGCATCTTTTTTTTTCTTTTTTTATTGCTTACGGCCTGGCCACGGGGATCGGCGGTGCGAACAGCGAAGCGGTGGACGAGGCGACCATTCGCGCAGCACCGTTTGCAGGCCACGGGTACTCACGTTCGCCGCCGCGACTAGTAAGGAAGTCCGACAGCGAAATGTCTATATCGAAATTATCTCGATATTGCTTACAAATTAATCGTTTTTTGGTTCAGGACCTTTTATTTGGAAAAGATTGTGAAGTACATGATTTGAATAAGAATCGGAGTATACCTATAGATGGAGAATTCCACAAGAAGTACGAGAAATACTTTGGGTGGCTAGACTTCCAAATAGCTGGTCTAGCTAGTATTTCAGCAATTTTTTTTTTATTGCTTAGATGGGTGGACGAGCTCACAGCCCACCTTGTGTTAAATGGTTACTGGAGCCCATAGACATCCACAACGTAAATGCGCCACCCAGCTTGAGATATAAGTTCTAAGGTCTCAAGTATAGTTATAATGGCTGCCTCACCCTTCAAACCGAAACGCATTACTACTTCACGGCAGAAATAGGCAGGGTGGTAGTACCTACCCGTGTGGACTCACAAGAGGTCCTACCACCAGTAATTACGCAAATAATTTTGAGGATTTCATTTTTATTACACGATGTTATTCCTTCACCGTGGAAATCAATCGTGAACATTTGTTGAGTACGTATTTCATTACAAAAATTGGTACCCGCCTGATATTCGAACACCGGTGCATCGCTCAACACGATTGCACCGGACGTCCGTTAGGCCACGACGACTTTAAAAATAAAAAATAAAAAATAAATAAAAAATATAAAAATTTCGGCGTTAATTTTTCGCGGCGAAAACAACTAAACTCATTTAATCACTGTACTATTCGCCGCGACTACCGCTCGACTCCGTGGCTCGCGCCGTCCGTATTCATGCATTTGTTTTGCTCGCCTGCCGCATCGCGCGATTCGCTCGGTACATTTCGCCGGTCGCTTCGCCGGTCGCCGGTGCGCGTGGCTTGTTAGGTACATTTCTATGCGCTTATTTTAGTCGCTAGACGCTTCGCCGTTCGCACCGCGCGAATATTCGTATCGGCGAATGTCCCGTGGCCAGGCTGTTAGATGGGTAGACGAGCTCACAGCCCACTTGGTTTTAAGTTGTTACTGGAGCCCACGGGCATCTACAACGTAAATGCGCCACCCACCTTGAGATATAAGTTCCAAGACCTCAGTATCTTAGTTACAACGGCTGCCCCACCCTTCAATCCGAAACCCATTACTGCTTCACGGCACAAAAAGGCAGGGTGGTGGTACCTACTCGCGCGGACTTACAAGAGGTCCTACCACCAGTAAACCAGATCTGAAGTTATACTACTGAATTTGAAGTTACCAGTAAAATGTCTTCATATTCTAGATATACATTTTAAAGTCTTTCAGATGCCGAATTGAATTTCGTGAAAGCAGCCAAAGATAAAGGAGTAAGAGCTTCGGGATCTTTGAACACGAGAGTAGCGTATCACGAACAAGATATTATTTTCCTCGCCGACTTAGACTGCAACGGATCTCATGAATTCCTATATAATGTACGTTTGCTGTGATCATTGCGGAATACTTTCTTTGTGAAATACGGTTATTCATTTAAAATATACTCAAGCCCCTTTCCGTGGTTATTCTTACTATTCTGGAAACTTCTATTATATAGAGTAGTAACAGCAACTTTAAACGTATTGTAGCGGTAACCATCATACAACACAAGATATTTTACAAATTCCTGAATCTCACTTACAACATTTTCAAGATACGTCTGCATATATACATGTTCCGAACAACAACATTTGGACCGTCGGTCTACCGAGTAAATTAACTCTCAGACACAGCCCACTGAGTTTCCCGCCGGATCTTCTCAGTGGGTCGCGTTTCTGATCCGGTGCTAGATTCTGCGAAGCACGGCTCTTGCTACGGTTCGTGTTAGCAACGTCGTCAGGCTTGAGCCCCGTGAGCTTACCTACTAATTCGGCGAATCTAGAATAACCCCTCGAGACTACCAAATGAGGTTAAAAAAACAGCATCAGCTTATATGATAAACGAAAATCCATTTCGTAGATTATCAAGTATAACTTAATTAATTTCGCATCAACTTTGATGAACTATAAATTCAACAAAATTTATATAAACTAATCGAAAACTTATATCGTATTTTCTATCATCAGAGCCAATTTTTTTAAAACTATCATAATAGAAGGGAATGATGAGTTTCTTAATTTGGGCGTACAGTTTTGATGCCACGTGATTTTTTCAGAACAGACTGCCCAGTATGGGAATTTTAAATAACTTTACCTAATAATATAGCTGTGATTGATGATACTCATGATTCAATGTTAAAAGTTCAGTCTTTCTTGCGGCTTGTGCTTCTGACGAAGTCTTGTCCAATCTGGACCAGGATCCGATAAAAAGGACAGGAAAAATGTAGAAATTCAGGTGTTGCTATTTTTGGTCTTATGTTTTTTATCTCTCTGTATTTGTTTCCAAATAGACATTTCATCGTTACAGGCCTCTTCAAAACATCTCTTCCGTTTTCCATACCGTTGGTTGGTACTTCTGAATTCAACTAATGAAGCGAAGTTGATGTATCTCTGGAGAATTCCGCTGTTGATAACCAGCGATTTAGTACTGGCGCGAAGATATGGAGACCTCTTTGAACTTGTAGAACGTTAGTAGTTTTAAAATGATCAAAAGTATTTTTACGGCTTTGGAATGAGCTCCCCTCCACGGTGTTTCCCGAGCGCTATGACTTGTCCTTCTACAAACTAGGCTTGTGGAGAGTACTCAACGGTAGGCAGCGGCTTGGTTCTGCTCCTGGCATTGCTGAGTCCATGGGCGACGGTAACCACTCACCATCAGGTGGGCCGCATGCTCGTCTGCATACAAGGACAATAAAAAAAAAAAACTATCTAGTAGTCTTCCATAACGCCTTACCTAAAGCTAAGACAGTAAAAGGGCTTTAAGTGCTTTACTGATTATGAAAAAAGTATTAAGTCTGTTAGTCTTTTTAATATAAATTCAAACTAGTTTGCTAAGCTATTCAAATAAAGAAATGCATAAAACGTGAAAATATTTTTTTACTGGTGGTAAAGATTACCTCTTGAGAGTCTGCGCGGGTAGGTACCACCACCCCGCCTATTTCTGCCGTGAAGCAGTTTCGGTTTGAAGGGTGGGGCAGCCGTTGTAACTATACTGAGACCTTAGAACCGATATCTCAAGGTGGGTGGCGCATTTACGTTGTAGATGTCTATGGGCTTTTTTTTTTTTTTTTTTTTTTTTTTCCTACCTAAGCTCATAGCCTTGAGAGGCTATGTCAGCGTAACCCTAACTTTAGTAGGTGAGCTCACGGGGCTCAAACCTGACGATGTTGCTAACACGAACCCTAGCAAGAGCCGTGCTTCGCAGAATCTACCACCGGATCGGAAACGCGACCCACTGAGAAGATCCGGCGAGAAACTCAGTGGGCTGTGTCTGAGAGTTAATTTACTCGTCGAGCCCTTCGNCAGCCCTAGCCCTAGGACAGTGGTTCCGAAAATGGCGCATAGACATCAACCCAGCGAAAAGTACTGCGGTGCTCTTTCAGAGGGGAAGCTCCACACGGATTTCCTCCCGTATTAGGAGGAGGAATCTCACACCCCCGATTACTCTCTTTAGTCAATCCATACCCTGGGCCAGGAAGGTCAAGTACCTGGGCGTTACCCTTCTATTATATAGAGTAATAACAGCAACTTTAAAAGTATTGTAGTGGTAACCATCATACAACACAAGATATTTGACAAATTCCTGAATCTCACTTACAACATTTTCAAGAGAAGTCTGCATATATACAAGTTCCGAACAACAACATTTGGACCGTCGGTCTACCGAGTAAACTAACCCACAGACACAGCCCACTGAGTTTCTCGCCGGATCTTCTCTGTGGGTCGCGTTTCTGATCCGGTGGTAGATTCGGCGAAGCACGGCTCTTGCTAGGGTTCGTGTTAGCAACGTCGTCAGGCTTGAGCCCCGTGAGCTCACCTAATTCAGCGAATCTAGAATAACCCCTCGATGCTACCAAATGAGGTTAAAAAAACAGCAACAGCTTATATAATAAACGAAAATCCATTTCGTAGATTATCAAGTATAACTTAATTATTTTCGCATCAACTTTGATGAACTATAATTATTTCAACAAAACTTATACAAATTAATCGAAAACTTATATCGTATTTTCTATCATCAAAGCCAATGTTTTTAAAAACTATCATAATAGAAAGGTGTGATGAGTTTCTTAATTCGGGCGTACAGTTATGTTGCCACGTGATTTTTTTAGAACAGACTGCCGATGGGTGATTTAGGTAACTTTACCTAATGATATAGCTGTGATTGATACTCATGATTCAATGTTAAGAGTTCAGTCTTTCTTGTGCTTTCGTGTGCTTGATTGTGCTTCTGACGAAGTATTTTCCAATCTGGACCAGGATCCAAAAAAAAGGACAGGAAAAATGTAGAAATTCATGTGTTGCTATTTTTGGTCATAATGTTTTTTCTCTTTGTATTTGTTTAGACAATAGATTGATTTCATTGTTACAGGCCTCTTCAAAGCATCTCTTTCGTTTTCCATACCGTTGGTTGGTACTTCTGAGTTCAACTAATGAGGCGAAGTTGATGTATCTCTGGAGAATTCCGCTGTTGATAACCAGCGATTTAGTGCTGGCGCGAAGATATGGAGACTTCTTTGAACTTGTAGAACGTTAGTAGTTTTAAAATGATCAAAAGTATTGTTACGGCTTTGGAATGAGCTCCCCTCCACGGTGTTTCCCGAGCGCTATGACTTGTCCTTCTACAAACTAGGCTTGTGGAGAGTACTCAACGGTAGGCAGCGGCTTGGTTCTGCTCCTGGCATTGCTGAGTCCATGGGCGACGGTAACCACTCACCATCAGGTGGGCTGCATGCTCGTCTGCCTACAAGGGCAATAAAAAAATAAAAATACTATCTAGTAGTCTTTCATAACGCCTTACCTAAAGCTAAGATACTAAAATGGCTTTAACTGCTTTACTGATTAAGGACAAAGTATTAAATCTGTTAGTCTTGTTAATATAATATCAAACTAGTTTGCTAATCTATTCAAATAAAGAAATGAATAAAGCGTGAAAAGGATTTGCGCTTGTGTTAAAGCAAAAATATCCCAGTACCAAATCTATACTAATATACTAATATAATTATAATAATTATAAAGAGGAAAGATTTGTTTGTTTGTTTGTATTGAATAGTCTCCGAAACTACTGAACCGATTTGAAAAATTCTTTCACTGTTTGGAAGCTACACTATTCGCGAGTGACATAAGCTATAATCTTTTTTGAAAAAAATTAGGGATCCTTACTAAAACTCCAATAGGTGTAAAAAAATTGCCTAAAATATTCTTTACATCGCGTGCCCTGCGAAAACTATTGATGATAGAATAAAATAATGTACGACGACTTTGTAGAACACATTATTGTTTACAAAAAGTGTTGCGACAGCATATGTCTAACTATTATATTTATGCCGCAAGTGTTCCTTTATTTTAAAAAATAAAATTAGAAATAAGAATTAGAAAATAAATAGAAATTTTTGTTAAAGACCCGAGCGGAGCCGGAGCGGGCCGCTTGTATTTGATAAATTTCCACTGAACACCCATAAATACTTTGGTTTACAGTACACAAACCAGCTCCAAGTGGTTCCATGATAACCACACCGCGTGGTTTCTTTAATGGTTCGCTAATAGACATACGCCCTCAGAAAGAGCTCTATAGGAGACGCAGAAACCTAATGGGCCATCATCTGACTATGGCTAATATCATACAAGACAGTAACACCACGAAATACTATTTACCGAGGGATGATAGACTGTAAGGATATTTATTTGAGTACTTTATAGTAATAGATTGTAATTCTCCAGATGAACTCTTCGGCAGCAAATTATAGGCTATAGAAGTGGTCGTGAAGTCGTCGTGGCCTAAAAGATAAGACGTCCGGTGCATTCGTATCTATTCGATGCAACGGTTTTCGAATCCCGCAGACGGGTACCAATTTTAATAATGAAATACGTACTTAACAAGTGTTCACGATAGACTTCCACGCTGAAGGAATAACATCGTGTAATAAAAATCAAACCCGCAAAATTATAATTTGCGTAATTTCTGGTGATAGAAACTTTTGTGAGTCCGCACGGGTAGGTACCACCACCCTGCCTATTTCTGTCGGGAAGCAGTAAAGCGTTTCTGTTTGAAGGGTGGGGCAGCCGTTCTAACTATACTTGAGACCTTAGAACTTATATCTCAAGGTGGGTGGCGCATTTACGTTGTAGATGTCTATGGACTCCAGTAATCACTTAACACCAGGTGGGCTGTGACCTCATCCACCCATCTAAGCAAATCTAAAAAATCTTAGCACCTATCAATTAAGGTAAAAATAATTATTGTCCAAATAAAACCCCAAAGGTATTAATTAATTCGGTCTTAAATCAGAATCAGTCAGATGCGATATTGGTATTGTGGTAAACGTGAGTTCCGATTTGACGTCATATGGACAGTCCTTAAAGATCCATTCAGCTATTGTCCATTTTCTAAAGATATTGTCTAGACATCTATGAAAATAATAATTTTATAAGAGTTTAAGTTCTTGCTATGTTTTTTTAATTTAATGCTTGACAATAAACACATCTAATGTATCATGTAAAGTAAGAAAAGCATAATTTTAATAGGTTTATAAATTGATCTATGCTTAGCAGGAGATCTATTTTCGTGTCGTTCAAAATGACGTGTCAATAACTTTGTATTTTTCTTTTATTTAAAATCATTGCTGATTGTATGGTCTGTATGCTCGTCTGTATTAATATATATGTCTATATGTATGAATAGGCAGTTACACCACGACGCAGTTGCTAAAGTCTGCTGGGTTTTTGCGAAAGTGGCCTTCGAGCTACTAAATGCGACACCTCGGTACACATTCAGCTACAGATTTGGATATAAAGTGAACGGTCAGTGGTCCGGAATGGTACGGGACATAGGCGATAATAAGGCTGATTTGGGTAAGCGCTACAAGCTGTAGAGATATAGTACAGGCTAGGGTAGAGACGTAGTGTACGTAGGCCTGCCACAAGGTGGACTTTTTTTCCCTACCTAAGGTTGAGAAGCTTAACCCTAACCAGTAGGTGAGCCCTCGGAGCTCAAACCAGGAGGCGTCGCTAAGACTGGCCCTAGCAAGAGCTGTGCTTCGCAGAATCTACCACCGGATCGGAAACGCGATACACTGAGAAGACACGGCGAGAAACTCAATGGGCTGTGTCTATGAGTTAGTTTACTCGCTGAACCCTTCGTCGAGGTTCGACGAGAAAAGGTGGACCGACGACCTATTGAGGTTCACGAGGACCCGAGGGATGTAATAGCAATATCGATCATAGATTACCAAGTAGATACTAAGTACAAGTAGTTGTGAAAACACGCTTCGTTGCAACCTTTAAGCTTTCTTATGAGATGCACGAATGATTAATTCTGAGAACGGATTGAGACAAGAAATGAAGCTTCATTATTTATTAAAATTTAATTATTTAGAACTTAGTCTAATCTAACTAATCTAATCTAATCTAGTCTAGTCTAGTCTAGTCTAGTCTAGTCTTGTCTAGTCTAGTCTAGTCTAGTCTTGTCTAGTCTAGTCTAGTCTAGTCTAGTCTATTCTATAGTTTATCCTTTAGAAACAAATGTACCTATGTAGTAAATGCACCTATGAAGATTACATAATGGTAATGGAATTTTTGCATACTAAGATTACGACGTACTGGAATCGACTTAACCTTCACCTTCAATACCTAAGTAAATTATTAAAATAAATAAACACTTATAAATTAATGATTCACATTAAATTCGAACGGTCTGGGACATTATATCGTCGTATGGGTGATGGTAACACATGTACATTCAGATTGTAGACTTAGATATTAGCTATTTATTATTTAGTCTTTTTTTTTTTTTTATGATTGAAAGTTTACTGGTGGCCCGAAGGCCTTTCCAGTTTCACCAGGACAGGTGGGCGAGCAAAGGCTCAGCCAAGAGGGGTGGGATTTGCTAACAACTGCCCGAGCGCCTCCGAAGGAGACCTAACAACTCAAGAGCAATTGTTTCGCGAATGAATCTACTACCGGATCGGAATCGCGACCCGCTGAGAAGATCCGGCGAGAAACTCAGCGGGCTGATGCATGGGTTAGGTTGCACGTCGACCTCTTTGTCGAGTTCGACGAGTACGGTTACCGGGGTCCCTAAGCCTGCCCCTAGTATTAGAGCTGAAGGCATCTAATGCAAAGGTTATTGGATCTGATGGATCCGTAAGGACGTGTCTAGGGCGTCGACGGTGACTGGCTCCTGCATGATCAGGATTCGGGGAGTA